AAAAAACACGCTTTGCGTGGTTCGAAAGTGTTCTCAAAACTTAGAGGAGGCTGCCTTTTATCCCGCCAGGGAACTGTAGCTTAAGGCTGAACTGATATTGAAGGCGGCCGGCTGAAGACCAGCGGTCAAGGCGGACATGCTCAGAGCTCGTGCGCTTAGTTATCGGTCTTCAATATGCCAGCAGGGGCCGGTCAAACGGCGTTGTAGTGTAAATATTGGCTATTTTGGTAGTACGTTGAGTACCGTCAATATGAACTATGTCTACATTAAAAACCCGAAGCTGAAGGCCTTTTCTCCTCATATTGGATCGGACATGGTCGGATTCCTCGGGCATCACGTTTTCGCCGTTTTGGGATCGAGCCTCTAGCTAAATTAGGGATGAAGCTTCGAACGAACGAAATCCACCAGCTGCCCGCCATATGAGCTAGAACAGAACATGCTCGTTTAGAGCTGGAAAAACGGGATTAGTTTTAAGGGCGGTAAGTGCTGATTTATCTCCAACTATGTGCACAAAGAGTTTAGCCAACCGCGTATGGTGTGTAATGCTCTATCTTCCTTCGTAAACGATTTTCGTTTTTTTTTAGATTGCATGACGGTTTCTGCCCTCCGGCTCGGCAGTCGGCATGATTGATTTCCCTCGCCTCGCCCATGGGCTGCCCGCCGCACGGTACCCCTGTCACCGGCGGCTCGCTCACGGGCTGCCCGCCGCACTGTACCCCTGTCACCGGAGCCTCGCCCATGGGCTGCCCGTCGCACTGTACCCCTGTCACCGGAGCCTCGCCCATGGGCTGCCCGTCGCACGGTATCCCCGTCACCGGCGCATCGCCCATGGGCTGCCCGCCGCACTGTACCCCCGTCACCGGCGCCTCGCCCGTGGCCTGCCCGTCGCACGGTATCCCTGTCACCGGAGCCTCGCCCATGGGCTGTCCGCCGCACGGTATCCCTGTCACCGGAGCCTCGCCCATGGGCTGCCCGTCGCACGGTATCCCTGTCACCGGCGCCTCGCCCATGGGCTGCCCGTCGCACGGTATCCCTGTCAGCGGCGCCTCGCCCATGGGCTGTCCGCCGCACGGTATCCCTGTCACCGGAGCCTCGCCCATGGGCTGCCCGCCGCACGGTATCCCTGTCACCGGCGCCTCGCCCATAGGCTGCCCGCCCCACGGTATCCCTGTCAGCGGCGCCTCGCGGCGGCGGCGGCATACTCGTGTTGGTGCAGTGCCGGAAGAGGAGGCGTGCGGCGCCGACCGCGGCCCCGTCCTCCGCCGAGGGCTGAGAGCGTAGCACGCTGCGCAGCTTGGCTGCTACGGCCCGGCCGGCGCGGCCGAAGGCGTTCCACGAGGCCCTGTCGCCTGGCCTCGGGTGCGCCTCAGCCCAGCGGCCGCACGCGTAGCGGTGGAAGTCCTGGCACGGGTCGGCCGCCGGGTCGAGGCTGCTCAGTAGGTTCGCCGCTGCCAGAGAGGATGTGCCAATGACCGCTGAGATACGAGACACAACACTCGCCGGTCGGTGCCCGGCTCCGACTGGCGGCCGCCGACCACACCAACATGTGCAGGCGGGCGGTTGCAGGCGCACGAAATGAAGCAGATGTTCAAAGCTAAAGCCAGGCTAACAGCCACGTAATTGAACACCCGGGATCATTTTAATCGAAAAACAGCATGACAGCTTTCAAGCACTGCACTTTCTTACCGATACTTCTTTGCAACGGCTGAATGTATTAAGGGGTTAACGTTCGTTCATCATTCTCATGATTTCCTAACGTTCTTCCCATACAACATCGTTGATGGGTCAAGCGGGTTATTCGCAAGAGTTTTCAGGGAGCTCATGCTGCCTCTCCTCGGTGGAATGGGTTAATATTCGTGCACGTTAGTAGCCAGCCTGAGGAGATTTGGAATACTTCGACCTGATGAATCAGCCTGAGAAGGCCAGCTGGCGTTAGTAATACGCTGCAGGCTGCACCAACCTGAGAGGACACAGCCGGGGGTGGTGCAAACCGTCGGTTCCGGCTCCTCACTACTGACGGTCGCGTTGGGAACCGACGTGGTGGCGCAGAGCTCCTCCAGCTCCTGAGCATGCAGGTGTGCAATGGCATCTAGAACCCGGCGACAGCGCAGCGTCAGCAAGGAATGCGGCTGAGACAGCGCAGCGTCAGCACGGGACGGGGTGGAGATAGCGCAGCGTTGGCAAGGAACGTGGCTGAGACAGTGCAGCGTCAGTACGGAACGCGGCGGAGATAGCGCAGCGTAGGCAAGGAACGCGGCTGAGAAAGCGCAGTCCCAGCAAGGAACGCGGCTGAGATAGCACAGCGTCGGCAAGGAACGCGGCTGAGATAGCACAGCGTCGGCAAGGAACGCGACTGAGATAGCACAGCGTCGGCAAGCAACGCGGCTGAGATAGCGCAGCGTTGGCAAGGAACGCGGCTGAGATAGCGCAGCGTTGGCAAGGAGCGCGGCGGAGATAACACAGCGTCAGCAGGGAACGCGGCTGAGACAGCGCAGCGTCAGCAAGGAACACGGCTGAGCCAGCGCAGAGCAGCGCACCAGTAAAACATAAACACTGTGCTATATATGCTTCCATATGTTGAAACGCCTCTGCTCTATGATGCCCATGATTCGTCCACTTCTCAACAAACATGTGCTAACACCTGACTTGAGTCCTCCTGGAAAGCTTTACTTCACCAAGAATCGTTCGTGTCTTACGAACGAACTCTGCTCCTGCCCAGGGAGCCGCTCTACCGGCCTCAGAATCCACCCGCCGGCCGCGTAGCCGCTCCCGTCGGAGCCGCTTCTGCTCCGTCCGAGCGAGCGACCACTCACACGCGTGGTGGAGCGTCAGCACGGCGACGAACAGAACGGCGGCCAGCAGAGTGGCCGCGATGGCGGCGGCGGTGAGGCGACGCTCCCGGCGCGCGGCGACGCCAGATTCGGCGCGCTCGCTGTCCGAGCTGGCCAGTGGCTCGTAGGGCCCACTCATGGCCGGCGACGGTATGGGGCTGACGGCAGGAGCACGCGCGTCGAAGGAGGCTGCGCCACTCCCTGGCGGGCTGAGAGGCGTTCATATTGTCCAAGGTACAGCATGTCCAAAGGTACAGTGTGTCCAAAGTACAGAATGTCCAAGGTACAGAATGTCGAAAGTTCATAATGTCCAAGGTACACAGTGTCCAAGATGAGCAATAACTTCCAAAATGACGCAGAGTGGAAGGGGTCCGTTTCATAATGCTCAATGTACAGAATGTCCAAGGTACAGAGTGTCTTAAGTACAGAATGTTCAATGTACGTATTGACTAAGGTACAGAATGTCCAAGAACCAGGGTTTCCAAAATAGTTCTTGGAGCGGCCGCCAGGGTGTGAATAATAGCCCTTATTGGTAGGCCGTGTTGCTCCGCCCAGCGTCGGCCGCGCGCCTACAGTCCACGCCAGTGCGAACACTACGAGCATGCGGTAGGTGGGTCGCATAGCAACGGATTCATTTCCCACGCCGGTGTAGAGATGGTGTCGGATGCTGTCGGTCGGCGAGGCCGCGCTCGACTTGCAAGTGATCGTTGAATACGAGACGAGTACCGTGGAGTGGGGCGTTGGACACGCGCGGGTCTGCTCTGAAAGCGCCGCAGCGTTGCCCTTAGCCGGCGTTGAACTTGTTCTGTGTCTGACCGGGGGCGTGTTCGCTGTTTGGTCATAGCTATATGCAAGTAGAACCTCTTGTTGCAACTGTTGTTTATTCTAAGTGATCGCTGCCACGTTTTCACCACAATTAGCCTACAGCGTCCAACGGAGTAAACCTTGCAAGACAGAGGAAGGTATGGGTATCAATAATTTATGCTCCCTATCGGATTAATAGCCTGTTTCTGATCATTGATCACTGGGATCTAGGTCAAAGGTGTAACATATTAAACATATTACAAAGCACGCTGCATTACAAATCATAGGATATGGTTCAATGAATAGCCTTTTGTGGTCAACATACTGCACATGATACCATTTAGAACAATTAGCCGGTGCATCAAGATATTGGTGGAGACTTTCCATTGAGACTTTCCATTGGACTGGACCATGCATTAATATTCATGTAAATCAATGCCGACAAGAAAGATCCAGAATAGGGGAGTGCGTAAATGTTAAACTGTGCTTAAGTCTAGTTTCAGTGCGTAAACGTGACACCGGTCAAGTCGTGAACTAGTAACCCTGAATGAGGGGCCAAACGCATGAAAATACATCCAAGTTGTCAAAACATGGCTGTTGTCATCTACGGCTGTCCATTCACTCCCCCAAGCCAGTAATTCATAAAGCAACGAAGCAGTTTCGCCGCTGACGGAGCAGCAACGGTGAGCTTGTCTCCCGAGCTGGGAAAGCTGGGGGTCGGAAAAACTATGTTCGGAAGGCTTAATGCCCGGAAGATCTATACGTGGAATACCCACACTCAGATAAATCAACGCTCAGGAAACTTCGGAAGAACCTTCTACTCCCCCAGATGAGACCCTAGAAGGAAATGGGGCAATAGCGAATGTGGAGCGCTGAAGGCGAATAACGGGGAACTTAAACCTACCCACACCGTCACATGTGGGCTGGACCGCACGCATTTACTGATTGAGCTACGGCGGCGTTTCTGCTACTAAAAGTCCCACCAGTCCAGGAGGAGGCACTGATTAACAAGTCACGAGATCCCGCCAGGCTGAGAGGTGGCTGTGCTTAGTTACATATATCTAGGAAGTTGGTTTGTAAAAAGGTGAAATCTGAGGACAACTTTGGTTTTTCAGATATCCTCACCCCACAAGCGAAGTCGGTGACACTGTCTCTGTTCATCACATGAGGGCAAACCCAGAAATCCATCACTTATTAACAGAAAAAGGCAACGCTTACACGTATGGCGACAGGTATATGTGTTTCGACAGTACCGTAACACACACACACAAGCGCGAACGCGCGCACACACACACACATGCACGCACACACGCACGCACGCACGCATGCATGCATGCATGCACGCACGCACGCACGCACGCACGCAAGCACGCACGCACTCACGATTTTTCTCACAATTATGAAATATATGCGAAAACAGAGGTACGTCAGTACACAGGGAGAGACTTGCCTACGCAAAGATTCTACGCCAATATTTCCAAAATATTATGAAAGTTCAACAGCTCCAGGTAGTACACGTGGCTGCCTGTGAATGAGTTAACGCAAACACGCAACTCAAAAGGCCTGTGAATGATCGCAATTGTTGCAAATCTGTGCAGATCCTGAAAAGAAAAAGCATTGAAAAAATTAAGCACGCAAGCTTCCATTTCCTAATGTCAGGCACACGGCACTATGATAAGGCTTGCACGAGACATCGATGGCTAGGCCGGAAGGTTTCGATGGACTGTATCACAGATCAGAAAGCAATTTGCTACAGGAAATCAGAGTCAAAATCAATCAGCAGACAACTATTGCTGAACGTGCCTTACGTGAACAACAGCGCTGACAATAAATATTTCACGATGGTGCCTGCGAGTTTATCCTCTGTCAAAGTTTACCGATACGCAGCGATTCTTATATCCTTGGTCCGGGTTGTCCTATGCCGTTGCTGAAATGCGCACTTAAAGGTTTAAGTATGTTAGAATGTGTGTCATTGTATGTTGACTACTTCCTCCCCTAATTGTGAGCGTACGCTCTCCGTAGACATGTGTCCCCAGGTGTTCATTACACAAGCCTGAGTGTCATGCATTGCTCTTCTCACATACAATTTCACTGGAAAAGATTACAAGACATTTTGTGAACATCCTGTGCGTACAGAACCGTACACCATATATTGTGTATTCTGCTCTATTCTGTGCATTTTACTTTTGGTCCATTGAGACCACGGGTGTAGGAACGGAGGGCCAGGGGCTGAGGGGACCATGCCCCCCCCCCCCACTCTTCAAGGTGGGGGGCTAGCAATATTAACTACCCCCCCCCCCCCCCCTCCTCCCTCCATTTTTTCAGATAAAGGTTCCATTTGCCTTACTTTTACACTGCATTTCACATGTATCCCAATTTACTTAGTTCACCAGACATCGCCCTTGAGATGCGTCACCTTTTGCGTTTGCTCATTGGCCATCGCTTAGTATTACAGCCGCAAGGCCGACGCCGCACGGGCTGGAGACAGCAACGCTGGGCGTCTCGGCTGTGGCTGCTATGACTTGGAAGGGCACGCGTTCAAGACCATATTACGTAATTTTCTTATCAGTAATCATCTATGACAGGATCTTGAGCATATCAAGACGATCATTGGTTAGTCATGCTAATACATATTAGGAACCCCATTTCATCCACAATCTACGGTCAGGGAGAACTCAATATATCTGAAGAACGCAGAAAAACACGGAACTAGAGTCTATGTGACAATTATTGGACTATCTGCGGTGATCAGGGATGTTGTTGTGTCAATGAGGGTTCCTGGGCTGATCCGGGGCTAACTGCGCGGATCAGAAGGCCTCCAGTGTCAGGGATGGGAGCAAAGTGGTATGATATATCCTTCTAATGGACTCCGGATCAGCCAGGAGATCCCGCCCCATGTCGCCAGAATGATAGCCAGAAGACAATTCGCGATGGGATGGAATGGCCCCTCAGCCCTTGACCGGAAACGGTGCTGTACCCCTGATGTTCTCTTCAAGAGGCCCCTTACCCGGAAGTAAATAACGAGTCTTATTATTGTGGAGTAGAGTAGGGTCTCATTGTTGTTGAAAAGAATGGGTCGAAATAGGCTTAAAAAGACGAGCACGTTCATGCCATGTTTGCTTGAGAACGTTCATTTTTTCAGGATGTACTAGTGAAGCAAATTACATCAAAATTCTTGAACATACCCGCCCGCAACCTCGAGAGCAAGGACAAGGATGGCCTGGGCTGCAGCTTCCGTAAAACCGAGAAGTTTCGGCCACTGCAAATGCCACTAGACGGCAGGCGCCGTGTTAATCGGTACTCTGGATAGATAAATACTTGCAAAAACACGAAAAATAGAGATCCTACCTTCACTCTTCCAGTTCAACCACGAGATTCCAGGCCCACTTCACGGTACCTTAGGGGCTAATTCGTTCTTTTCATCAGTCAAAAATTGCGCACGTGAAATATGCGCTCAGCCTGCCTCCTTGATGTAAGATCTGATGTCATAAAGCGTTGAGGAATACTTTTTAGTAGCGCCATCATTTTCGTCCATCCGTTGGCCTCAGCTTAGTATCAGCTCCTGGGCCGACGCTGCGCAGGCTACAGAGACTGCAACGCCTAGGGGTCGAGGCTTGTGTTTCTAAGATTTTAGAGTGCGCATGCTCAAAGTTGCGTCACGTAACTTCTGTCAATAGCGGATTACAGTGTTTAAAGGTAATCATTTCAGAAGGCGTCATTGTTTTCGTCCACCGGTGGGCCACGGCTAAAAGTTAGCTACTGGGCTAACGCTCCGCGGATTATGGAGACTGCAACGCGCGGTGTCGAGGTTTGTGTTGCTAAGATCTGCGATCGCCCATGCTTAAAAAGCGTGTTACATAAATTGTATCCCTTCTAGATTCTAACTGAATGGTGAACACTTTCAGACAAACATGGCTTGGCCATGTTAATACACATTGTTGACCACTCGATCTGCAATCAAATTTTCATCTTCAAATTTGGATCAAACGTATCGATCTACAATCTACATTCGCGATGTCCTCAATGTCTGTACAACCCAGATGAAAATTCTGACAGGGCTTCTGAATTCTATCGGCTTAGAAAGGGTCAACTAAACCATTGTGAATTAAGAGCGCCGATGATTTATTCCATGCAGTCGTTAAACGCCTGATTGCTGCAGTTTATTCACCTCAAAATGCAAACAGAATTGAGCTCACGGTAGCTCCTGGTTTCTGATCGGGTTACAGGGTAAAATAGCAATAAAACGAAGAAAACCGTGTCCCTTGTTAACCAGTAAGCTATGTCCGGGGAATTGTGGGGGGGGGGGGAAATCACCGTAAGATGGGCTTTTGTCAA